AATGCCGAGGTGCAGATACGGCCTGATCCATGTGGTGAACAATGACTATACACACTGGGAAATGTATGCCATTGGCGGAAATATGAACCCTACAATCATCAGCCAAGGAAATCGCTTCATCGCCCCTCCAAACGAGCAAGCCAAGCAGGTATAAAATCCTTATATATATATATATACACACCAAAAAGATTATCCATATCACTCCAAATGATAATAATAGAAAACGTCGGTCCAAAGGTAACGAAGAGGGAGTACACACCATACCCCGAGTGGAAATCGTGGAACTGGCAGTCGGAGGGAGATTACTTCCTGAACGGAGCCTACTTTGTGCAGTCGGGAAGAGCAAACGCTTGGAGTGTAGCCCCGAAGAATCCGGTCCCCAGCAAGTTTGCAATCCGGCCGCAGCCAGGGACTTTGGTCAGGAAACTCACCATGAATTCCGGGGTCTTAGGCTGTAAGAAAGGCAAACCCTGTTAATAATTTTTTTTCCCCATTTGGCACCTTCCTTCCAACACAAAAATGTGTAGTGTGAGTTCAGTTCAATCAAAACTGGTTTTGTCCCTGCCTTTTACATGTTCCAATGGCAAAATGAAGGGAGGAAACAAAAAAAAAAACAAAGTGAATAATGCAGTGCGAGTTAATATTAGAGTAGGTTCCTTCTTCTTTTCTTTAAAAAAAAGAAGAAATTATTGGAGAACAAAAATGCAAATATTTTGTTTCCCTTTTCTTGTCCTTTCACTGTCCGAGAATCGGCCATCACTGAAAACTGATGTCTCGAGATATTTTTTTAACTCGCTGGCTTATGCAAGCTGATCTGATCTGTCCATCCATTAATGAACTCAAGCTTGAATTTGATGAGTGTATCAATGACGGCAGTAATAGAAAGATGACACACTTTGTTCCTGGTTGAAGTTTGCCGGTCTGTTGTCTTGAACCAGAGTTAAAACAACAGTACTTCTCCAAGTAGACAAGAAGCACCACTGTGTAAGTACATATGATAAACCCAATCTTGTAAGAGCCAGAACCAGTAACAGCGGCAGAACCCTTCAACTCCACAAACACAGGATTCATTACACTCGATTCTTGCATCTCTACGCGAATAGTTGAGCGTGGGCTGTGGATGGGCAAGAATCCTTGATAATCCAAGGATGATGGCCAAGAACCTGCAGATCTACATTCATGTCAGTCCAGCTAAACTATGGCCTGGATGTTTTACCAGTCGTTTATCATCTATCAACTGTCGGGTAGTTTCCACATCTTTCCATCTTCCTAAAGCAGCATATATACTAGACAGGATCACAAAAGGAGCCGGGTTTTCTGGCTCTAACTCTGAGAGCTTCGTTGCCATTTCCTCTCCCAGCTTGGGATCTAGGTATTGCATACAAGCACCGAGTAAAGAAGAGTACGCTGAAGGCGATGGTTCTGATATTTCATCTATCAGCTCCTTAGCTTCTTTTAACCTACCATACCGACCCAAAAGATCAACCATACAGCCAATGTGCTCTGTACTAGGTTTCAATCCATATACGTCGTGCATCAACCTAAAAAGATGAAATCCCTTTTCAACCTTGCCACAGTGACTGCATGCGGATAAAACGCCAGTAAAAGTTGCTGAGCTGGGTTCTACTTTCTCGTCTTGGAGTTGATCAAAGATTTCGATTGCAGATTCATATTCTCCATTTTTACCGTAACCAGATATCATAACATTCCAGAACACTGGATCTTTGGGTTTTGGTATGAATTGGTTAAAGATTCGACGTGCCCATGAGAAGAACCCGCATTTCATGTACATGTCAATAAGAGATGTAGCAACAAATATATCCCTTTCCGATGCAGCTTTGATGACATGCCCATGGATCTCTTTACCATTCTTTAGAGCCAATAAGTCTGAACAAGCTGGTAAAAGGCTCGTAAGACATTTTAAACTTGGAACTGTAACTACTGATAGCATTCTCTTGAAGCACTCGAAAGCTTCAACTCCTTTCCCTGATTGTGAGAAGCCGCTGATCAATGAATTCCACGTCGATGAATCAGCCTCAAGTCCCTCAGATTCCAACTGTTCAAACAGCTCAACTGCTCGCTCATACTTCCCATTCATCATCATCCCAGAAATAATAGAGTTCCATGTTATTAAGTTTCTGGAACATTGAAGCTCATCGAAGACTTTGTATGCTGATTTCCAACAATGGCATTTTGAATACATGTCAACAAGGCATGTACCTACCATGGCATCAAACTGAAACTCGGTTTTCATAACAATGCCATGAATTTGCCTCCCAAACTCGGAATGTAAAAGACTAGCACACGCAGATATAACATTGATGAGAGTGATAGCATTCGGTTTTTCGCTTGAAAACCTCTTCATGAGATTGAACGCATCCAGAACCAAATGCAACAAACCATTTTCCAATAACCCAGAAAGAAAAGCATTATAGGTGACCACACTCTTGTTAGGCACACTTTCGAACATCTTCGCAGCCAAAATCCACTCTGAACATCTCGAATACATCGAAACAAGAGAAGTTCCGACATAAACATCCATCTCAACTCCTAACTTAATCGCCAAACAGTGCATTTGCATGCTTCCTTCAACATCCTCGCAGCCGCCCAAAACACTTGCCACTGTAACCGAATTCGTTCCAAACCCAGACAACCTTACTTCCCTGAACATACTAAACGCTTCTCTGCGAAACCCATTTTGCAAAAACCCTGAAATCGCCGCATTAGAAGAAGCAGCATTCCGATCAGGCATTTCGTCAAGCACTTTACGGGCATCGAAGGGATGTTCCACCTTCATGTACATGCTCATGAGAGCCGTAGCAGTGAAAACATCGACGAAAAACCCGGTTTTGACGATCTGGGCATGCAACACTCGACCATTGACGACGTCTCCGAGCTTCGCGCAGGCTTTGAGAAGCGGCGGGAAGGTGAACTTGTTAGGAGAGCAGGCAGAAGCGTAGTGGCGCGTGCACAACACTGCTTCCTGGTAGAAACCGCCGGTCACGAGATTCTGGATTCGGTGTCTCATGAAATCTTCAGAGCGAAACACAATCCCAATCGATTTTTGTTCATCAGTTTGATTGGAAGATTTCCTCCGCAAACAAAAATTCAAAAATCTGTTCCATCAATTAGCAGTGTAAAATGTTTTCCAGTCCGGTCTAACGGTTTATTCCGGTTTAATGGTTGGTTCTGAGAAAGCGAATCTAAATCTGAAAGCTGTCAGCGAGATGGAAGTTTCTAGAAGATTATAAGCTGCGTAAGTCACACGAAGCACAAAAATTAACTTCTTATCCCAATCGCAAATTCGCACCCAAGCGACGGCAAAATTGATCGGAGCTCCTCTCTTCTCCTGGTATCGCTCATCGCCGTCTCTTGTTTCGGGCTGATTTCTGAACCTTCGCCGCTTGACGCTAGCTTTTGTTCACCGGTATGATCTCTCTCTGCGGTGCTTCTGTTTGTTGCTCGATTCGTGGATTTTGCTTTGATTTTGAGCTGTTCTTCCCTCCTTGTGGTGAATTTATGCGGCCTTAGCTTGTTCCTAGATTCAAGAGAACTGTGTTGAGTTTGAGATGAAATTCGATTCGGTAGGGCATGTAAACAACGATATGATTGCAGATGACGTCGCTCTGAGCTAATCAGTTGTCTGCTAATCGGTCGTAGATTTCCTAGTCCAAATTCGAATCCACATATCGGCGTAGGCATATGCATACGTAAGCAATCGATCAATTTCACTGTTTTCGCAGAAGTAGGAAGAAGGAACAGAACAGTTTGGAATTCTGAATTGGAAAACATTGTTCTCCTGCAAATACGATGTTTTGAATTACTTATTCACAGTTATGCTTACAGAGTGTAGTTATGGTCTTGTGATATATATATTGGGTATATATAGACTTAAGGAAGAGGATGTCGACTCCGGCAAGGAAGAGACTGATGAGAGATTTTAAGAGAGTGCAGCAGGACCCTCCTGCCGGGATAAGCGGTGCTCCACAAGATAACAATATCATGCTCTGGAATGCCGTTATATTCGGGTATTGAAACAAAGGAAGATGATTTTGCCTTAGTCAAATTTTGCTGTCCTCTACCTACATTCAGATACATTCTCTGTGTTCACACCCTTTTCGTTTTCCCACTTTTAGGCCTGATGATACCCCATGGGATGGAGGTAAAGTTCCATCTTTCGGTTTCGGCATTTCGATTTTTGCCATCTTGGTGTTGTTCTTTCAGATGTTGTTCTCATCTCCCATTTCTGATTCTGTCAGGTACTTTCAAACTTACACTTAGTTTTTCGGAGGATTATCCAAATAAGCCACCAACTGTCCGTTTTGTCTCACGGATGTTCCATCCGAACAGTAAGTTTGGATATGATGCAGCATCGATCTCTGTCTATTGTAGCTTATGGCTCCATTTGTTTCTGAAAACTCGCTTCTTGACCGATAATATATGCAGTTTATGCAGATGGGAGCATTTGCTTGGACATTCTACAGAATCAGTGGAGTCCAATATACGATGTAGCTGCTATACTCACTTCCATTCAGGTATAGAAATATTATGCATCCTAATAGTCTATGAAACACTTTGAACGTTTTCTGATTGATTTACTTACAATTATTGAATTCGCAGTCGTTGCTTTGTGACCCGAATCCAAATTCTCCCGCCAACTCGGAAGCTGCTAGAATGTTCAGCGAAAATAAGCGTGAGTACAACAGAAGAGTACGAGAAATCGTCGAGCAAAGCTGGACAGCTGACTAGTATTAGTTGCTCGTCTTTTGTCTTATATTGTTTGGAGCATTCGGACACACATGTTTTCATGTTCGATTTCTGCAATGTTGCTGTCATTACTCTCGAAATCGAATGCCCATTTCCCTTTTAATACACTTGCATCTTCCCATTCTTTTATCAATGTTTCTACCTCTCGTTTGGTCATATGCTCTGTGTTTTGCTTCACTGCAACTTGGTAATTTCAGTAAGAACTGTAAACTTATAAAGGATTTATCAACATTGAGACTCGGAAGACAACCCATAAAGGAAATGGAAAGAAATCAAAAGTGTTGTAAGAGTACTGGATAATTTCAACAAATCTGTGCCTTAAATGGAGATTGAATAAAATGTTTTGGGTGATATTTGATTAATCTTAGATGCTGTAATGAATCTATGAGGTTAGGCATTTGCTTGAGCATTACATTCATTTGCTTATTATATTGCATTTGAAACATTTATCTTTAAAGCACAAAAAATTTTGAAGGTAAGTACTTGTATTCTACATGATTCTATGTAGCAATGCCAAGGTTACCGCTGCTTGTCCATCCTTGCTGCACTTGAATTGTGTACTGCAGATTCCAGACAACATCTTCAATCGACGGCCTCTTGCTCGGATCTTCGCAGAGACAGTTAATGGCGAATTCCACAGTCGTTCTCAACGACTCGTAAGCATATGTCCCTCTCACCGACGGATCTATCAAGCTTCTCAACACCGAGGGCTCTTCCTTCAATCCATTCTCCAGCTTCAGACAGAATAAAAGAGGTTCAAGGCCTTCTGTAGTTCTCGGGATGAGAAACACGAAGAAGAACTGACTCTGAAACGGAACATACCTGAAGCTTTAAACCTCCCATGTCTGAGGAAGATGCCACCACTCTGCCTGTGATGATCTCAAGCAGTATCACTCCGAACTGGTAAACGTCTTCTTTCTCTCTGTCTTCATTTCTGCAATTTTTCAAGATCAAGCATGTCATAATGACCAATACAAGAGAAGGGTTTGAATTTGTATCTAAAGAGATACGAACCCGAGTGGACTTTTCGCTTGGTTTCCTTGAAGAGGACTCCCTGCTCCGACCTGAGATTTTTCTCGGATTGAGTTAAAGAAATGGAATAACAAAACATGAAAGTGTTTGTTCTGTTCTTGACTTGTGTTTTACCTTGGAATGTGGTAAGGGAATGGTATAGCCGCAGATCTTTGCACCGAGTGTTTCATCAAGCAGGATGTTTTCTATATCCAAATTGTTCCCGAAGATTCCAGGTGCCACTCCCGTGTGCAAGAACTGTATTCCTCTAGCAACTCCAATTGCTATTGCCATTCGCTGAGGCCATTTCAAGACCTCTTTCTTCCTCCAATCTGACAGAAAATTCCCATGTAATTTCCTGTCAGAAACTGTTCGACTCACTTAACAACCAAACTCATTTTGTCTTTTTCCAGGTATCATCCATCACCTGTGAGGAAATCCCTCAACGACCCGTTAGAGAAGTATTCTTGGACGACGAAGATTGTGCTTCCGGCATAAGGATGATGATCTTGGTAAGTGACAATGCAGTGTCCAAGAACACTGACCAAATGCATATGCCTTAGCTTAGACAACACTTCCATCTGCTGAGCCAAGTTCTGTGGTGAATTCTTCTGCTTCAGCTTTATACATTTCACCGTCACCGCTATGCCCTCTCTAAGAAAACCTCTGTACAGCTGTTCCAAGACAAGAATCTCTTCGAGTTCTGTCAAAGGTCACAACTCAGATCAACCAAAGTTCATGTCGTGTTTTTGTTTACCTGTTCACCGACCAGATTTGATGCCTCGAAGTTGTTGGTTGCTTCTTCCAGTTCCTCCAAGTTGAAAACCCGATACGGCGGCAGACCAATCACGGCCGATCTCATCGTCTGTGGCACACGTCCTACATTCAAAAAGCTCGAGCAGCAGGTTTCAGTTGATGGGTTTTGTAGAAAATATCAAATTCAAGACTAAAAAAAGATTGTATCCTTTCTTTACTTGAATCTGGTACTGTCTTTGAGGTGGTGGTGCTGCAAACAGAGACTTTATCAAAGGCATGTCTCTCGACATTGTTCCCTTCAGATTGCTCTGCTTCTGCTTCTGATCGTGATCTTCTCATTATAATCAGAATCAACAGAGCCAAAACCGATGTGACGATGACCACACCCACGATTATACCAATCAGTACCCCTAGTTTGATTTCAGAATCTTTCTTCTGTTCCTTTGGAACTGGCTTCACAGCCACCGCTTGCTCTGCTTCGCTCTTACAGAAAGAAGCTGGACGCTGATACTTTGCGCTGGGAGTTCCATTGATAGACAAACAGTTGAAGGAATAAATCACTGTGTGATTCTGGAATCTCTTGGAAGAAAAGCAAGACGGAAGCTTTCCCGTAAGAAGATTCCGAGAAACGTCTAAAGTTCTGAGCTTTGAGCTGCATGTCAAGTTTGGAAATGACCCAGATAACAGGTTCCGACACAAACTGAGGTTCTGGAGAGAAGGAAGTGAAAACAGAAAATCCGGGATTGGCCCAGTGAACTTGTTGTCGGAAAGGTCCAAGCTTTGAAGCTTACCCATCTTCTTGATCTGTTCTGGAATCTTTGATCCGAAGGAGTTTTTCTTCAATGAAACAGTGATTAAATTGCTTGCGAGCGAAGGAACTTCAGGGCCGAGACGATTACCTCCGAGATTCAGCTCTCGAAGATCCAGCAGCCCTCTGAGATCCGGAACAGTTGCGTTCAGCAGATTGTTGGCAAGAGCAAGGCTTCTCAGGCCATTCAACGACGCAATCTCTTTCGGGATAGGGCCAGAGATGAAATTAGAGCTGAAATTCAGAACTTGGAGAGATGATAACCTCGTGATCTTCGAAGGGAAAGGACCAGAGATGCCGAGAGAGACAAGAGACAAGGTTTTCAAGCTTGAGAGTTTGGTAAGAACAGTGAAGAACGAGTCACTGGAGAATGTTTCCGACAGCTTGACGGTTCTGTTTCCTAGGATGGTTAATTCGGTTACATGGCCATCGGAGCAGACGATTCTCAGGGAAGGAGAGGAAGGGAGAAAACAGAAGTTGGTCCAGTTGTTCCATGATCGTAGAGACTCTGGATGTTCTAGGAGCTTCTGGATTTCAAAGAGACTTCTTGTTTCACTTGATGTGAGCTGTGATTCTGAGAATGTTGGAAGAAGAAGAAGAGGAAGGAGAAGGAAAGCGAGGGAAAATGCCTGGCTATTGAGAAAATTATGCATTTTCTCGGGAAAAAAAAAATCTCTGGAGCTAGAAAAACCATGAACAAGCTGACATTTCAGAGATCAAAGTGATTTGATTCAACTTCTTAGACCAAAAAAGGAAATATCTTGCAGAGTACATAAACAAAAAAAAAACTTGGGATTCTGTATGAACAGAGACAGATTCTCGGGAAAGTAGCAGAAAAACTTGGGATCGAGAACGTGAGAAAAAAAAAATCTTCTGGGAAAACGAGAGAAAGTTTTCCTGGGAGAGAGAGAGAGAAACTTGGGTGAAGAGAAGAAATGGGCAGAGGAGACAATAAATACGATTGTGTTTAATATTCGTATTTGTTTGTATGTTCATCAGTGCACAACCTCAGCCATGACAGACTGTTTAACTGCTCCTAAGAACATGACCAATTTTTTTTTTAAAAAAATAATTAATTAAATTTCAAGATCCTTGAAGAACGTATACTTCACATGATTAATCTGACTTATCTTCCGGATTTAGAAACCAGTTTTGATTTCTTCATCTATTTCAACTTGTAATAATAAAACTAAACTCTCACGTATACACACATGCGTGTATTTATGTATATATGCATGACACACGAATCAGATCTTTAAAAAAAAAAGAAAAATATGATATATATATATATATATATACGTACACACGCATCGTGGACGAATAAATGTTTTTGTTTCTTCTCTCGAAGTAATTTCTTCACGTATGCTAATAAAGTTTGTAAGTTATAAACAGATCCAACTTACATCTTTTGTGCCATCTATGATATCTAAAAATGTTGTTCGAGATTATAATATTAATAAAAAATACGTAATTGTATTAAAATTATAACAGTGGACCAAAATGCACCTAATTAAGATCAATACATGTTATAAGGAATCTAGAGAGATGCAAAGTATGCTCTTATTTTGGGTTCAAGCCCAAGCGTGGGTAGAGACATTCACCTGGATTTTTCTGATCGATGTAGTTGGGCCAAAGGCTCGATGAATTTTCGGATTATAAAAAAAATAGATGTTATAAGGAAATAATTTTATAAAAAAAAAGGATAATTAATTAAAGTCACAAGGCGTTAATCCGGCTGTGTAAAATTCAAACAGCGGCAAACGCGAGCGAAATTCGGACAGTTGACCACGCCGAGTCAACGTGATCTGTCCGTCAAGATCATTTGACGCCGTTAGTCATCCTCTCTCCGTCGCCATCTGCAGCGGTCGTGTGATGTGTAAACTCCGAATGTAACGCCATTTGTCGGCTGAGATGAAATTACGAGAAAGAAATGAAAAAAAAAACAGAGAGGAAAAACGACGGTGAAAAAAAATAAAAATATAGTTCGAATATATAATAATACATAAATCGAAAATAACGTTTTTTCTTCAAATATCTTATCAAAATAATATAGACATTGACATTAGTGACTCATACAAAGATCCAAATTCAAGCCAATGATACAACAAATACACATTCATCCAAATAATAGACTAATCACCAAACTAATCACTTGTCGGCGGAATTAAAGAAATGCGTGTCGTTTTTTTGCTTTTGTTTTTGTTTTGGTGAATGATAAAAGAGCGGTTTAGACGACGCGCTGTTCCTTTCCCGTTCAAACGGGAAGCTGTCCTTTCATCGTTTGATGAACTGTCACATTACTTTCTCCTTTGTTCTCTTCAACTTTTATCATCTGTTTTAAGCTTTTGATTTGTCACTAATTATTTTGTATTCCATTCTTCCATTTTGACCGGCCGGGACAACCCACGTGGCATTTTGTAACGATAGAAAAACCATCGAATTTTCGGGTAATTTCTATATCATCCATTATATATATATATATATGGTCTGCATAATCTTCTTGATCTCTCTCTCTCCTCTCCATCAATGTATTCTTCTTATATATATATATATATATATATATATATATATATATATATATGATAATGGGAAGAAAGGGAGAGAGAGAGGGGACAGTGAGAGAGGAGGAGCACATGCAAATGCCTTGGAAATATAGAAACCTGCAAATGCGTCATTTAATATTTATAGAGATTGCCTCTCCCACCACTTGCATTTATTTTCTTTTTACATTTTAATTTATGAATACATTTTTTTAAAAAAAAACACGGCATACATCCTTGCATGGATGACTTTAGTTAAAAATAAGTAAAATCAAGAAAACGCGTCTCTCTTGTTATAAAACTAAACGACATTAATACAACTTTAAATTTATTTGTCTACGTACCAATCAAGAAAACGCAGAAACTGCTATGGAAGTACGCAATGAGATTAGTGACATGAATATGATTCTATGAACATACATATATATATATATATAATATAAAAGATATTTAAATGACAACTTCAAGGAATATTTATATGGTAAATATTGGAGAAATATTATATTACCAATTAATGGACAACAAAGGAATCCTAGAAGTTTGGAATTAGCGTACTAACCACTTTGATAATGACGGTCTATATTTACTTTTATCTAAATCGAAACCAAGCCATTCCGGTAGAAGACGAAGGGCATTCCAGTAAATCCATCTCCTCTTGTCATCGCCCAAACCATACAGGGCCCACTAATTAGGCCCAGGCAAAGTTCTGCCAACTCATCCCTCAAACGACACCGTTTTGGGCTGACGTTATATTGTCTCTCTCTTTCCTCCTTGCCTCTTCTCCGTTTCTCTCTCTTACCCTTTACCGGTGAGAGTGTGATTCTCACTGCGACTGATAGGTCACTGAGATTTAGTAGACAACTGAAAGGACAGAGCATTTTGAAGAAGAAGCGAGTTGGTTGGGGGATGAACAAAGTTTAAGCTTCGTCCTGTTCTTTTTTGGTACCTACATTGGCTCTTTGAGTTTGACGTTTCGATTTCTTTTTTGCCATTTTGAGGAATAAAAAGTTTCCTTTGGGTTTTACCCAGATCTGGGCATTCACTGCTACTCGTGTTCTTCGTCTTCTCTAGCTTTGGTCTGTTCCAAATTTTACCTTCTTTTTGCTCTCAATTGTTAGAAAGTTGTGGTTTTTCTGTTACTTGCCTCGAATCCCGGATGAAATCGCCAGCTGCTGCAAACATATTTCTAGGTGTTTTCTTGTTTGTTTGTTCTTTTGTTTGTCTGTAAACTTCATGGGTTTGGACTGTTAATGGTTGAGATCTCTGCTTTTTGTTCACGTTATTTAATGGGTCTTCCTCTTTTCCTGGCTTCCGTTACTTCTTTCCCTCTATGACTCATGCTGCTTTCATTGCTCTGCTTGATCTTCTTCTGATTTCGCTTCTGGGTATTGATATTTGTGAAATATGTTTCACTTTCTGCCTCAACTTTTTTGATTTCCCTTTGTTTGGGGTTTATATTTGTGGTGTTTCACTTGAAATTTACAAACTTTTGTTGTTGTTCCTAGTATATTTGGTGCTTATCATCGCAAGAAATCATGTGTAACTAAAGAGGTCGATGAATTTGCTCTAAAGCTTCTAAAGACATGGCGTCTGTATTCTTATGCAGATTTCTAGATATAGCAACTTTCTTACTTAGCCGGCATCTCTGTTTTCCGAAATGGGAAAGACTCCCAGTCCCAGTAAATGGTTCAAGAATCTTATAGGGAGGAAGTCGTCAAAGTCAAGTTTGGCAAAAGAGAACGAGAAATTGGTAAGAATGTGAAGTTAAAGTTCGAGTTTTTTTTTTCTTTTTGGACATGTGGGTATCTTACTGTATCTATGTTCTTCCATGAAGAAATCGGCCAAGAAAGAAAAGCTGGCGGTATCTGTGAAGGATGATGTAAAATACTTACCTGTCGAGCCTCTTATAGTTTCAGCTCCAGTTCCAACCGATACTGCTCGAACTGTGGCTGAGAAAAATCCGAGTGATGGGACTAATGTTTCATCTGTGAAAGACAATGAAGTTGGTGAATCAAACATTGATCCGGGTTTACAAAATGATTCAGGGGAATTGAAGCAAGAACAAGCAGCAACCAAGGTTCAGGCTGCTTTTAGAGCTCACCAGGTTTGCCATAAGATTACATGTTTTGAGAGTTGAGAACTGAAATTTGTAATCCTCTAACACTGTTGTGTCTGAATTGCAAAGGCTCGTAGGGCATTTAGTACACTTAAAGGCATCATCAGGCTACAGTCAGTTATCCGCGGTCACCTGGTCAGGAGACAAGCTGTTGCCACGTATTCGTGTATATATGGGATTGTGAAGTTACAGGCTCTTGTTCGTGGCCAAAGAGCAAGATCTCCTGACAATGGAATTCAACTTCGGAAAAAATTTACGGTATATTTACATATTTCTTGGAGTCTAATAGTTGTGCTCGTTAGCAATAACCATTAGTCACCGAATCTACAATTTTTTTTGTTATTAGGAAGCCAGAAATTCAGAAACTTTGCAAGCAAGATCATGCAGTTGGATGGAGAATCCTGCAAAACTTTCTATAGTTGACAAGGTATTGTCAACTTTTGTTTGTAGTTTAGGCATATATTTGCTTCTTGTTGTATTCTCAAGTATAACATATTAGCATTCCATCATATTCCTGCATGGGCATGGAATCATGCAAAACGACCTTGATTATATATCTGTCTGTGAATTTTCAGCTTTTGGCTTTGTCATCAACTGTGTTGCCCCTGAAGCTTCAATATAACCATGAGGACCCTAACTCTGCCAAGGTTTGGCTTGAACGCTGGACAAGACTGCAAATTTGGTCACCTAATTCCCGGGCGACTAAGAATCTGATCTTAAAACCTCTGACAAAGAAGTCCATGATCGAAAAGAAAAAGGGAAGGCCAAAACGAGGTATCAAGAAAGCAATGGGGCCAAGTACCGAGAATGGCTCTAGCCTTTCGATAGCTGAGAATGAGAAGAAACCTAAACGGAATGTGAGGAAGGCTTCCTCACTTAGTAAAGAGCTCCCCCCAAGAATCGAGAATGACAAGGTGAAACAGAGTTCTAGAAAAACTATTGGCGTCGGGAAGGATGGGTCACCGTTGGAGGTTAAAGAAGAGAAGCCTAGTAGGCCTAGTTTCAAGAAGGTTTCAAATACTCCTCTCTCAAATGGGCCAGAGAAATCAGCCCGTAAGTCTGCTGAGAAGAAGAAAGATATGGCAGATGCAGAGCTTGATGGGAAGGCTTCAACTTCTCTTTCTGAAGTTCCCGAGACACTAGAAAAGAAGAATGATATTCCAAATGCAGTTTCAAAGGATTCTGATCTCGACAAAAATGAGAAATCAGAAGTAATGGAAAATCCCGAGCAAGATGAACTCAAAGCTGCTGAGAGCAGTGATAAGGCTGAAGAAGTGCGGTTATTATGCTCTGAGCATGGTAATGTAGATTCTGAAAATACAAAGGAAGTTGATAGACGAGCTTCATTGCCTGCAAAGATTGAGAATCAAGATGACGGGCTTAAGCAAAGTGCGAGTAAACTTCCAAGCTACATGGCACCAACTGAATCTGCAAAAGCCAGGGTGAGAGGGCATGCTTCTCCGAGATTTTCCCAAGAGAGGATTGAGAAAAACGGGATATCGAGGCGCCATTCGCTGCCTTCTTCAACCGATGAAAAGATGAGTACGATGTCCCCAAGGGCACATCGTCTGCTTTTAGCCTCGGGGAAAGGATCTATGAATGGCGATAGATCTTTCTCGTCTTCTAAAGACGTGGGTGGTAAGCAGAATTATTCGTTTTACACCGAAGCTACTAAAAATGTTTTGAAATTTGTAAAACTTACCTCACTGTAACATTCTTGCGTGATTGTTTTAGATAAATCGAACAGAGCCGAGTGGAAAAGGTGAAGAAGCTTCAACCAAAGAGAAAGCAATCCAAGAGTCGTAAAATCATCTTACACTATCCAACAATCTTGAAACTCTTTCATCTGTTATGGCGTTTTCTGTGTTTGGTTTTGGTTTGGTGTTTTGTCTGTTCATCGTCACACCCTTTGGTATGTATCTCTCCAGTTTACTCACATGTTTGGCGACAGAAAAGTGTTGAGAGTAAATAGTTCATATAGGCCGCTGGAAGCTTGTAGTTTGTGCTTTTAGTGTTTTCCGTTATAAATATCTTTTTAACCAATCTCCATGCTTCTTCACTTATTCACCAACTCTTTGATTCAAACACGCTGTCCAAATCCGGCAAGAAACTTTGCATATTTTTATCAAGCAGCAGGGATAGGCCCATGTCTTGATGAAATACACAGCAAGCTGATGCAGAGGCAAAATCTGCTTTCTATACACAAACAGTATCAGTCACACCATCAAACAGACAAAAAAAAAACTGTCTTCAACTTTCATTTTTCATCTTACGAGGGGAGAGTGATTGTACGACTGCAAAGGCGACCTATCTGGGGTTGCATGCAACAGAGGCCGGTTCTGACTGTACCTAACCGGAGATTTCTGTAAACCAGAGGCATGAACTCTTGGAGATTTCATCTGGGCATGTTTGGTTGCAGGTTTAACAGAATCAAGCTGTTCAAGTTTAGCCAAAACCTCTGACATTTTCGGCCTTAGCTTTGCGTCCGGGTTTAAGCACTGCATTGCAAGATCTGCAGCTGTTATCGCTCCTTTTTGAGGGTATTGACCTTCCAATCTCGTATCCATCACCCGGAAGAGCTTACGCTTATTATCACTAAGATAAGGGGTTGCCCAATCTACGAGATTCTCTTCCGTTCCCACTTTTGATTTATCCACAGCTGGTCGCCCACATAGTAGTTCTAGTAGTACAACCCCGAAGCTGTACACATCGCTCTTTGCTGTTAACCGTCCTGCAAAATGAAGATAAGACCTCAGTGGATAAAATAACTGTAGCCCATGATTCAAAGTTCAAACCTTTTGAAGCATTCTTGAAGAATGTCAAAGATGTTTCTTTAAGCATTTTGGCCAAAGTCCAAAGAAGCAAAAGGGTTTGAAATTTTATAAAAGGAAATATAGAACAAACCTGTTGCAACATATTCAGGGGCTGCATAACCTTGAGTACCGATGACCCGAGTTGAAACATGGGTCTTGTCCCCGGTAGGACCTGCCTTGGCCAGACCAAAATCCGATAGTTTAGCATCAAACTCCTGCATTTAGATCAATTTACAGACGTCAGAAAGAGGTCAATTCCCAAAAAAAAATCATTTGAAGAATTTTCAGAGTAGTTCCTGGGTTTATTACAGCGTCGAGCAGAATGTTAGCCGCCTTAAAATCCCGGTATATCACTTGCGATTTCGCTTCGTGAAGAAAAGTGAGCCCTTTGGCTGCACCTACTGCTACTTTCATCCTTATCGCCCATGAAAGTGACTGAGCTCCACCTGCAAGGCCCAAAAACTTTGACAGCTGTTACAAAATTCAACGAAGCTTTTTGCATCAGAGCAGTCCCAGAGAAGGAAGAGCTCAGAATGGATTGAACCTCAGAATGACAGTGTTTTGCATAACTATTGCAATTTGCACAGGACCTGATTCAAGAAATGAAGATCACATCGTTTTTCGATACTTACGTCTGAAAAGATGATTCTCCAGGCTTCCTTTTGGCATGCATTCATATACCAGAAGCCGGTTTTCACCCTCCAAACAATACCCAATCAGTTTAACAAGATTTGGGTGACTAAGTTGACCAAGATAGTTCACTTCTGCCTGAAAATGGAAACTCTAAATATCAGCACACACACAGACATCAAATAGTAATACCAAGAAACCTGAAAACGATAAAATGTTATAACACCAAAGGATGAAAAGTCGAAAAGGGGAGATTGCATACCAACCACTCCTTGTGACCTTGCAAGCCTTCTGGTTTAAGCTTCTTAACAGCAACAACAATTCCAGACCCGGGTTTTGAAGCAGCGAAAGTGTTGCCGTCGATCCATCCTTTAAAAACGTAGCCGAAACCTCCTTCACCTAGAAGACTGTCAGGTCGGAAATTCCGAGTTGCGTTCTTGAGCTCGTTGAAGGCGAAAGCTTTTAGATTTGGTGATGAAAGAATCTCCCCTTCTGTCCTTGGCGTTGACAAACATTCTGAGCTGCTCTTGTAATCCATAATTGAGCTTGACGGAACCTTCTTGCTGGAAATCCTTGAGGCCGATGAATCTAACAAGAGCAACAAAAAAAGAAAAGATAGATCAGACAAAGGAATTGTTTAGTCAATCCATTTTTCTGTCCGGAAATAGCAATTCAACTGACTCAAATCAACTTTAGAGGCAAAATGAAAACTACAAACAGCTAAGGGAATGAGTTATGGAGTTAAATTACGATCAAACACGAAGGAAAGTTCATGCTTGTCCCGTAATTCAGTCCCAAAATAACAAGTCAACTCTTTTCAATCTATCACCTGAAACTTTCCTGAGGCCGAAGACAGCAAAAAGGCGAGTTATTAGAGCATAACATCGACCAAACACCAAGGAAACATATGATTGTACTGCGATTCAATCCCTAAATAGAAACTTGACGAATATCAACCAATCATCTATCTCTACAAAACGAGAAACATGTTAATCCGGTATGAAAAAAAGGAAAATCAGAAGGCTTTAAGCATTAAAGATTCGGACATAGCGTTCATAACATAATCAGACAGAGAACCCACGTTGCTTATACGCCGACAATCCTCGACAAGGTAAGAAGTTTAGCTTCGACACTCGAAGATTTAACACCAACCCGGCAAAGTATTCGGAAAACCCAAATCGGGAATAAGAAGAAATCACGAGGAAACAATCACAGAACGCATTTAAATAAAAAGGGCTGTTTTGAATCAAACAAAGTTAAGGGAAAAGAAAAAAAAGATGGAATCTTTTTTTTTTAAATAGAAAGAAAGGAGAAAACTTGAGCTAGGAAAGAAACTTACCAGAATTCGCATGAGGGCTCTGGCTGCTGCTGTCTACTTTAGCTGATGAATCTAAGCAATTGCCCATTTTCGGATGATCCCACCGAGAAACGAACAAGCAATGGACTGTAATTTCGAACAGATAAAAGCTTGTCCCTTTTTCAGACAATCGAACAAACTGGAAACTATCAGGAATGGAACCAGGAAGAGAGATTGAAGCAATCAAACCCCTCCGTCTCTCCTTTTGTTCGCTCTCATCTCAGACGCTAATGGGTATAAGATAGAATGAAAATTCCAAGAAAAACAAGTGATGAGACCCAAAAAAAAAACAGGAGAGGAAAAGAGAAGGAACGAGGAACGTGAAGGACGCTGAGAAAATGCAGAGAAGCAGACCATACAGCACAAGGTCGTAGTGGAACCGAAATTACGATTCTACCCTTGCCACGTCCTGCTTAACTAAATGACTAGACAACCCTTGTGCTCGGCGGCGTGAACAGACGGGATAGTTTTGGTATTTTCCATCGGGATCTGGTTGCGTCATGCTTGCGTCAGCAAATCCTTCGGTAATTTGCACCGAGAAAAAAAATTCCACGTTGTATGGAGGATTTTGAGTTTTTTTTTTTTTGGGTTAAAGAATTTGAGATATTTTTACAGTGGTAAAAGTGAGATAAGTCTTTTACCCTAATTTTCTCGTGATTTTGGCTTTCCGATGAAAGTTTGACTTTGTTGAACGAACATGGAAATTCAATTTATAATAATTCAATACTTATCCGATGGACCTTTTTTTGGTCAAATGGAGTGAATATAATTATGAAATTAATAGTCTTATCTATAACATCTAATTCATCCAAAAAAAAATATAAAAATAAAATACCGAAACGTTATATTAAGAGAGTATTAGTACACCAAGCAAGACAATTGTGGACGTGGTGGACCATGGATGACGATTGTTATAATCAACTTTTTGTCAAAATTGTTATAATCAACTTGCGACTATTATATTCGTGCGTACGCTTACAAATATGAATTAACTATTTATAATTAACGCTTAATTAAACATATGCGCAAATATAAGAATGGCAAGTTGGTTATAACAATTCGTTTTGGAATATTTATAAGAATGATGTGATTCGGCATATGAAAGGGAAAGGGAAAGGGAAAGCAGAAACATGCATTGGCAAACGGTAGAAGCAGGAGACGACGAAACAAAATCATTTCAACGCTACAAAGTTTGTCCCCACAAAGACCACGGATATTGAATCTGTTCAACGAAACTTGAAGACAACACAAAACAACTTTATCAATAACACTTCAGAGCAGTTATGGTTTTTTTTCTTCACCGGAGGACACTACAATCCTGCAACGTTAAACGGTGGCCGACAAAAAGGCTCTTCCCGGCTCCCTGTTTGCCAACGGTCCATGGCACGACAGAAACTACAACCGAAAACACAGACCCGATTCAATTTTAACGCGGAATGATTACCCGATTGTAACCATCACACGTAAAGAGTAATGACAGAGAATGAGGCTGACCTTAGCATTGACACCATCGGGAACAATACGTTTCTCTTGTCTTAACTTCAAGTAATCAGCTCGGCTGAACTTTGTGAAGCCCCTTTCGAGTCGTATATTCGCAAATTCAGTGATGATTTAAGAAAAACAAACAAGCATAGATAGGAGAATAGATCGAGTAGATAGACATACCACTTCCT